CTCTAGGCAGTGTTACTGACTCGGAGCGTTAGATTGCACTTCTCGTTTTATATGTATTTCTAGGGCTCCATATTCAACAACAAGGCAAATGATCCAAATCGATACCTAGATTTCCAGACATAATTGGGTGGTTGTCAAAATGATGGTCCCTTTTTGGGTACCCCAAATTTATGGTGCCGTATAATAATAAGTACCCAAAAAGGGACCCTAGTATTGACAACCACCCAATTATGCCCACACCGCTGAATCATCCCCGAGGTTCAACGTAGATCCCAGTCGCTTAAAACCTTATGAACATATTTTGCGCCGAAGTCCAAAATCCTTCGCCTCTGATTTACGGGTGCTGATATAAAACCTGGACCTGTAAACTCTAGGCGTGCGTTCATATGTCTATAGAGGGACTGTAACGCTGTCTGTTTTGGCAAATTGCGCAGACCTCCAAAGACACGATTGCAGGCCTGTGCTTGTAAACATTGGAATTCCAGCCACTGCCGTGCGACAAGAAAGACCAGCCCTCAATCCTGGCTATCCTACCCAGATCCACTCGCTGTAGCTTCCCTATATACAGGTTTTGCTTTAGAGGCCTACGAGAAGGCTCTCGTAGGTTTTATGTAGACCCCTACCTGCCCTACTTGAACCCCACAGAGCCTACGTTTTACATGTCAGCTGCTCCCTACTATAGCTTCTAATACATGTCTTTGGAATGCTGGATTTGTTAAAGCACAGCCTGAGAACCCAGTGTAGCTAGCCACTCTCTTTATCGTAACCCTTGATCAAAACCCTGTGGAATCCATGTGGGTGGTTCTCCAAAAGGGGGTCCCTTTATAATTTATTGAAATGATATCTCAGAAAATGTCACATCTTCATAAAGAGCCACATCTTCATAAACAGGAACCTTCAACGGACCCTAGTTTAGAGAACCATCCATGTAGAGACCTTATGGATCCCTAAGGGTCCAAAGGACCCACAAATTAGGCACTCTGTTTTCGGATTGCAAAAAAGTCTTTTGGAGAGTATATGAAACCTTTAAACCCTAAATACCCTAAAAAAAAACCCTAATTAGGCACTTGGACCCTTAAGGGGATGAAGCTCGATCCTGCTCCCGCTGCGCAGGCTCTGGCTCTTCCTGTCCCACGGGGCCAGGAAAGTTCCCGGGATTTGGGGCTTAGGGTTTAGGGATTAGGGTTTAGGGTTTATCGTTGAGAGATTATAAGGGTTTGGGGATTCAGCCCGCCTGCTGCACTGAAGGGTGTCTAATGTACTTACGGTGCCATAGAGGTTCTACAAGATCCCGGGATTCGCTATAAATATAACAACTCATAATTGAGGAACCCCCAAAACCTCAAGGCCCGGACATTTTTTGGCGGCTCCATATACGATGCCATAGAGGTTCTACAAGGTCTTTTGGGGTTTGGGGTTAGATTAATCGGGTTCAGAGTAATGCTAAGGTTTCGAAGGGTTTACAGTATTAGTGGTTCGAAGGGGTTCGGCTTTTTGATTGATATTCAGCAGGATTAAGCTTTTCCTCTCTTCTTCCACAACTGGGCCCCAAAAAAATCAAATTTCCTAAGATAGAGCTACCATATAAGCCCAAAAAGGTTTAAAGCTCACCCGTTCACTATCTAAGTTTCGGATTGGGATATGGGGAGCCTTCAAAGTTTCAGTGCTTTGTAACATTGTAGTGGCTTCGTGGGGTTTGTTCGGCCCGCGTTGGTGTTTCGGCTATTTGCTTACACGCGGTCGACTTGAGCGTTGAACCCAGAAGCCTACCCGCACCCCCGCGTGCCCCCCACACCCCGAAGCTAAAGCTCTAGAGTCTCAGTTCAATACCTAGACGCTTACCCAAGACTCTTGACCGTGAACGCTGAACTGAAAAGCGGAAATTCTGAACCCTGGAGTGTGGAAGTGAAGAGTCCTTAAGACATGGACACCCGTGCCTTGCGAACATGCGGCACTTTAAGCCCTGTACCCGAACCCCGCCAGGAGACCTAGGAGACCACCCATGGACCACCAGGAGACCCCAGCAAACCACCAGGACACGGCCGAAATGCTTTCCCCCAGGTACTGTCAGATTCAGGACCACAGCCAGAAGCTGCTCACCCAAGTACTGCCCATTCACGAGGATTCCGGAGAATTGCCAAAATGTTGGGCAAAATGCTTTCCCCAAAGGACTGACGCGATTCAAGGAGTCGAGATCTCGGGGGCCCACGCCCGCAAATGTCAGGACGGGAATATGAACCCCGCAGCATGTACCACGCTCTTTGAGGACTAATCTATCCCCAAACCCAATATGCAAGTCTTCAACCACTTTTGCATCACATGAGACCCCCAATGAAGCCCGAATAAAACCCAAAAGGTCCCATGCAACCCGCCTCCGTAAGGGGAGGCTCCCAAGCCAGCCGCAGGGCTGGGGCCTATCTGCGAGCTTCTCATCACCAGGGCTACCTACTCTCTAACGGTTCTGTAGAAGCTGTAAAAATTTAAAATAGGATTTGAATACTTCCAGGACCCTCTGTTTCTTTCGCGATAGATGACCCCAAGTAGTAGCTACTCAGGATCTACTAGAAGGTGGATGCAGTCTCTAGATACAGTCCCGATCTAAAGAGGTTAAGGGCAGCTGAAGCTTGAAGAAGAGTTTCAGGATGTCAGTCTGGACATGCTTGTCTCTGCCACCTAAAGACAGGGGGGTTTCGAAACAGGCTGCGGTTGGGGCTTCAGACGGTTTCGGCTTGAGGGTATCGGCTTGGGCAATTGTTGCTGTAGGATGCCTTACATCCTACACCGTTGTGGGACCATTTCCGGCTATCAAGCTGAACCTTCAACTACGGTTTAGAATTTAAACACAACCCAAACCATGACACCCGGCACCGTCAAACCCCATGCCCAAATCTTCTAAACCCTTTACTATACTGAACTTAGAACCCTAGCAAAAATTAAATTTTAGCTGTTTCTTAAGGATTATAATAACCAAAAATTTAGAATTATTTCTAAGTACCCCTAAGTTAAAAAAAAATATAGAGCCCTAAAAAAACCGAAACCCGCGAGACATCCCCGGACCCTGAATCCTACCCCTTGGCCCAAGGGTTTAGGGTTTTAGGGTTTTAGGGTTTAGGGTTTTAGGGTTTTAGGGGTTTAGGGTTTTAGGGTTTTAGGGTTTAGGGTTTTAGGGTTTTAGGGTTTTAGGGTTTAGGGTTTAGGGTTTTAGGGTTTTAGGGTTTAGGGTTTTAGGGTTTTAGGGTTCAGGGTTTAGGGTTTTAGGGTTTAGGGTTTTAGGGTTTTAGGGTTTTAGGGTTTTAGGGTTTTTAGGGTTTAGGGTTTTAGGGTTTTAGGGTTTAGGGTTTAGGGTTTTAGGGTTTTAGGGTTTAGGGTTTTAGGGTTTAGGGTTTTAGGGTTTAGGGTTTAGGGTTTTAGGGTTTAAGGCCCAAACCTTGAGTTGAAAAACGAAGCCTGCAACAAGCCTGCGACTTTTGTGTCCACGGGGCTTCTATCCAGAGACCCCCACATGTTGATGAACTAATCAAAGAATACCGGTGACTCCGATTGCCTGCTACTTTCGCACTTGGACCCTGTAACTGAGGAATCAGAACCGACCGGATGGCAAGGTCAAGGGCTACAGGCATCCATGAATATCTGAAACCCGAACAGCTCTGACATTCCAAAGTCGCCTCTAACCTTCGAACAACGAGACTCTTTCATAGGTCTTGCCTGGATATTTTTGCAGCCATGATAAACCTCTAGGCTCTTCTGCAGGCAGTCGATTACAACCTTTACCAAGCCAGAGCCCTCAGCCGCCATAATCTTAGAGCCCTGAATCTTCTGATCGCGCAGCTGGTTCTGAAAGGCTCGAATGTAAGGGCCTGCACCATTAGAATGCTGCACGTTTAACGACTTTTTGTGGAGCATGTGGTTTAGACTAGTGTTTTTGGGTTCTTCATACTGTATATATATATATATATATATATAATATGTATGTTGTAGAGACGACTGCGGTAATCTCATCAGAAACTCCTCACAATCTTACGGAGCCTGATCTTATAAGTAGAGCACGTGTAAGGTCTCTGGGTATTCTTGTCCGGAGGGTCCAGATATACTACCATTCTCGAACTCGGCCACAAAAGACCATCCTTCTTGCCGGGGCCCGAATTCCAAAATATACATCATTTTTTACAGGATCGAGTTCCGATGTCAAAAAGAGTAGTATATGCTTATGGACCCTCTTGGTACGCTCGGGAGCAGCCATCGTATTGAGGGCTGAACGCCTTCGCATCTGCGGAGAATTTCAGACCGAGGCTTTCGGCAGTCTTTGGCGAAGGGTGGTCGAGCACCCAAATAGTGGGGGGTTATAGGTGGGGTTATGATTAGGGCAACTATGGTTATAACCCCTACAATAGGGGACTTATGTCTTCCTAGGGCGTAAGGCTTATGGAAAGTTGTCAATATTCGGGTCCCTTTTTGGGTCCTTATTATGATCTGGCACCTAATATTTAGGGTACCCAAAACGGGACCATAGTTTTGACAAGTGCCAGAAAACCTTCAGGTATAGTGCGGTACCTGGAATCTCTTGGGCGTGGCTAGAGGATTTAGGGATCTAGGGCTTGCAGGCTTATAGGTTCTCAGTTTATGTATGGTACTGTTTCTGGCAAGTAGCTCTGTCGAGCGAGTGTAGGTTCCCTTTGCATGGCAGGTCTGAAACTCCCGTCTCTGCCAAGGCTCCTGTGTTTCACAGGAGCACCAAGCAGAACAGCAATAGACAATGCTCCCGGATGCTGCCAGATTCTCCGGTCACTTTCCAGGGGGCAAAAACCCAACTGGGCAGTCTTGAGGGGTCCAGAGAACTATCCAGGCCTTAACGATTGGGACGGGATTTCGGATATTACGGTATCAATGCGGTATCTATGTATAGCAAGGAGCCCCCGAGGCATAATATCGGCAGTTATTCAAGCTTCTACACTACCTGTTTTGTGTGCCTTGCTCCCTCAAGCTCCAGCTTTCACGAGGACCTAAGCATTCTCACTTGACCGTCGTGAGAGGAAGGGCGACATACCTCGACCTCGCTCTCTCGAAGGATGCAGGGTTCAACTTCCGGAAGCTCGGGGTTTATATGGGAGTTTCCAAAAATTAGGGGTACCTTATTTGGGGGTCCTTATAGTAAGGATCCTACTATTTAGGGTACCATATTAGGGTCCCCTATTTTCGGAAACCTCCATATGGGGGTTTTCGAAAATAGGGAACCCCTATTATAGTACCCTAATTAGTCGAGTCCTTATTATCAGGAGCCCAACATACGGTACTCCCTATGTGTACTGGGCGTCAGTTTTCTGATGAACTAAACCTAGAATGGCCTTGAACCCCAAAACCTCAAAGCCTCCTATCCGAAGCCAGGCCCTCTGCAAGTCCATCTTGCACATGCTTGAAAGAGAACAAGATGACATCTCGATAAGTGTAGCTCACCGGGGGCCTTCGCCGGGGGCCATCTTTTTGGGGTTTCTTCAGGCTCCATGGTTTGGTTAGGGAGTTCCGCGGTTCAGGGCGCAGGGTTTCGAGACATCTGACTCCACTCGAGTTGGCTTTATTTTGCGTTGGCGTGGCCAGGAAGGGTGTCGACAGGGGAGAGAGAGAGAGAGAGAGAGAGACAGAACAAAAAGAGAGTGAGAGAGAAGACGGCCAATGACTCCAGACAGACTACCGACCCGAAAACTCCCCATACGCCGATGACGGTACTATCTAAATCTACAAAAGGCTTTAGACCTCAAAGTAAGGCCCTGAACCCAAAGCCTCTCCTTTAAACCCGGACCACTGGTCGGGACTGTAGCAGAAGGCAACTTTGGAGGTGGGAAGAGGCGGTCTGGCACAGGAGCCCCCATGAGTCTGTACGATGGAACCTGATTCTAGGTTATCTAGGGGCCATAACACTAAAAAAGGTTTTGGAGGGGTGTATTATACTATAATCATAATGAGACCCCCGAAATAGCATTGGTCAGTATCTAGGCATCTGTATTAAGTATGGATCTGAAGAGGCGTCTTGGATGTTTAAACGATTCCCGAATCCAGGTGACTACTAATGTGGCTGTGCATGATTGCAAAAGTTACAGCACCAAATCCCTTAGGTGCATCTATGCTATAATTAGGTGCGACCGCTGGCACCAGGGCACCATAGGCTCACTAGAGGACGAACGGACGTACTTGTGCCATCTTGGAAGACGTTGTACCTCCCTCAGGTTTGGGCTAAAGTTCCCTGGTTCCCCGATCCCCCTGATCACCAGGAGCACAACCCGAGTATATTTTTCGCATAACTTTTGGAACACACCACACTATGGGGGGGGTGGGGTTGATCATTAGAGCAATTAAGGTCGTGGGGCTTGTTCTACTCTGTGGGTGGTTGTCAACATTAGGGTCCCTTTTGGGTCCTTAGTATAATAGGGCACATAATATTTAAGGTACCCAAAAAGGGACCTAATTTTGACAACTACCCATCTGAATCCGGATCCCGACAGCCCAGCCTGCCGACCCGCGCCGTGGCGAGAAAATACTGCTTCCCGCAGGCACCTAGGCAGCGCTAATATAGGGGCCTGAATAATTCGAATAGGGTCTTGGAACCCATTATACTATAATTGTATTAAGGAACCCCCAAAATAGTATAGGTAACTATTTAGGCCCCTATATTAAAAGAGGTTCGAGTCTGGCATAGTGGACTTGTGCACCCTGACCAACAAGGATTACGACAAGGACTCTGCTGTTCGCCCGCTTACCATCTTGGAGGTTATTGGCTGAGTTGCTTTGCTGGCATCGGTTAGATTCGATATCGGGGCCAGAAGTTCGGGCCAAAGACTAGAAGTAGGGTAACATAGCGGCTTGAATGAGCAGAACAGAATGGAGCCATGCAAAAAAGTTGATAGTATATCTATTCAGTGCCGCTACAGGAATAGTTGTTCTGCGCACCATATCGGGTACGACTACAACTTGTCTTTGACCCATTGCGACCACAACATCACGCTGAACACTTCCAGGGCGAAATGAGCCCCTACACCTCAAACACCCACAAGCAAAGTCTAGCAGAAACAATATAACACAACCAGCTTATAGCAACTCCTATCATGTTTCTGCCACTGCAAATGCCACCTCCTGGCACGGTCGTTATGAGTTTGTCTTGGAACCCCAAACCTACAAGCCCCACGCCCTAGCTGACGCCCAAACAACAAACCCTCAACCTTGAAAAGAAGGTGTTCGCAGCAGAGGCACGGCTCGGTAGCGATGCTGCTTGGCAACGAGGTTGGTCATGTGCCTTTGTCTCTAGCGATTTGAGGATTCTGACTAATGCTCAGAAGTGCTTATGGGCGTATAGGGCTCAGGGCTGACCTTTCCCAAGCTTATTTCACAAAACCATGCAGCCTGAGCGGCACAGCTTGCGCAATGGTTAAACTTACAAGTTTGCACCTACTATGACCAAAGTCGCATCCATATTTTCAGCAAAGTCAGTTGGGCTCTCTCTGCGAACCCGCTCGTCCAGGAGTTTCCGAAAAGAACTGAAACCCCATGCACATCGACTCTAAATGTTTGGATTCCACCAAAATTCCCTTAGCCTTGCGAGGCGTCGAGAGGCAAGAACTCACGGAAACTGATGGAGCCGCTGGAGTCGAGGTCCTGCCAGTGACCCACAATGAACGGCCAGTGACCCATAAGAAAACCTCATGCCAAAGATGAGAATAATGCTAGAAATATTATCATTAAAACAACAATAGTATGAGTAATGATAACCATAATAACCACAGCAATGATGATAACCGTACCAATAGCCATGAAAATGACAACACATCAAACATGAGGGCTCACAAAAAGCTAAAGGGGTCTCTTGCTGGATCCTACACAACCTCAAGGTAGATGTGAGGTCAGAGGGATTGCAAGCGAAATGGCAGAACGTGTTCTCGCATGTAGCGGCCCTAGCAAGGAAATTGACGCAGATTGAATGGGATTCAATAGCCTGCTATTCCTAAACCAAACCACGTGTGTGTGTGTGTGTGTGTGTGTGTGTGTGTGTGTGTGTGAGTGAGTGAGTGAGTGAGTGTGTGTGTGTGTGTGTGTGTGTGCGTGCGTGCGTGCGTGCGTGCGTGCGTGCGTGCGTGCGTGCGTGCGTGCGTGCGTGCGTGCGTGCGTGCGTGCGCGGGTGTGGGTGCGTGTGTGTGTGTGTGTGGGTGTGTGTGCGGGGGTGTGTGTGTGTGTGTGTGTGTGTGTGCGTGCGTGCGTGCGTGCGTGCGTGCGTGCGTGCGTGCGTGCGTGCGTGCGTGCGTGCGTGCGTGCGTGCGTGCGTGCGTGCGTGCGTGCGTGCGTGCGTGCGTGCGTGCGTGCGTGCGTGCGTGCGTGCGTGGGTGTGTGTGTGTGTGTGTGTGTGTGTGCGCGTGTGTGTGTGTGTGTGTGTGTGTGTGCATGTATGTTTGTTTATCTGAGTGTGTGTGTGTGTGTGTGCCTGTGTGTGTTCCCTGTTCAATATTAGGGATTGTATGGTGTTCTGGGTGTGGAACCTGGAGGCATGGAACGCATTAACTAAGCACTTCATGCCGGAGCGCGCGACTTCACCTGCCACATGGTTACATTCGAAGAAGTCCCAACGTTACTCAGTGAGTTTAGGGGCCAGCGGGTTTGGGAAACCCACATACCAAAACCATGGACCCCTTTGGAAACCTCAAGCATCTCTTGCAATACAATAAAGAAATGTTGTGCAAGCCAACCCCTTTAACACTGTGAAAGAGATACCCTCTTAACACCCACGCACAAGCCTTTAAGCAAACTATTCTGCAAACCTACTAACGCACAAGTCAAGCATAGTAAACCGAGCCCTCTGCAAGTAATTATAGCACGGATTGAAACCTTATACACGAGCTCTCCCTGCAAAAGAACCCTTAGAAACCTTATAAAGCACTTGCAGAACTCTCCGGCTAATCCCCATGTCATGAAGCAGAAACTTCTCCGATCCCGCAACTCATGCCCCCAATAGGTGTCGATTTAAGCAGTCCCCGAAATCACCATATTAAACAGTAAAACCTCCATTAACATACCAAACCCCACAAAATAGTACGGTTTGGTAGGTTAAGGTATAGCTTATTGAAGCCCCGCTGAGGCGGTCCAACGTCTCGAAGAACCTTCGCAGCTCTTCGAAAGGAAGGCCTAGATTGGCGACAAGGGCTTCAAGGCGCTCCCTTCAAGGGCTTTAGGCTTTAGGTAGCTTAGGGTTTAAGGTTTAAGGGCTTACTTAAAGGGCTCCTCTAAGGAGTTCTAGGGGAATTCTTTTGGGGGCTATGGGGTTTAGGTTGCAGGGTTTTGGAGGGGCTCATTCACGGGTTTTACACATAGCGTTCCAGTGTAGGATCAGGACATGGGGTTAGGCGGGATTTCACGAATGGTCTACAGGGTTTGGATGTCTGGCTGACAAAGGTATACTTGAAGCATCACAGTGACAGGGCCTAGTGAGAGGTTCGTAATTCAATATAGTTATATGTATGCCAATCCAATAACCCTGGTTGACTTACAACCGTTGTAAGGGTACCAGAGGGTTGAGTGGTGAGGGAGTCTCAGGACTTGTGGCTTGATGCTGCAGGCTTGTGCGGGTCCGTGTACCTACAAGTTGCTTCGTACTTTACCTACATTGTTTCGTACCTTGCTTAAAGTACCTATTTAGCAAGCCGCTGGCAGCACCTGCTAGGTAAGCACATGGAACCTATAGAAAACCCTAAAGGCCTGCCTAAAACCCTAAACGCAATCATATCTTCCTGCGGTTGATGATATAAATCCTGCATTACCCATAATAAGGAATATACCATCATTCCCATAGTTTCGGGTCCTTAAGATAATGCAGGATGTATATCATCAACCGTAACTTCCTAGCTACGTGGAGACCCTTAATTTTCGGGTTTCGCCCTGTGGGCGCTTCGGGCATTTGGGCGAGGATCAACCCCACAGGTGCGGAGGGAAGCCCTCGGGCTGCAAGCAGGCAAATATGAGATCTCAAAAAAAGAGGGCCCAAATATAGTACCCTAGATAGTAGGACCCTTCTTATATAAGGACCCCAATATAAGGTACCCCTAATTTTCGGAAACTCCCAAATCTGGCAAGATGGGTTCAGTGGGGTCTTAGGGTACAGCAGGCAAATCACACTAGGATGGTTTTGGGGCCATATGAGGAATAGTAGCATTGAGCATTGTTCAAGCTCCTCTGTTCCCAGCTGTGTGGTCGTTTTAGTATCTGACTGAAAACCTACAGTTGCGGTGAGGTTCTGGAGCCCTTTAAGCCCCAAGGCCTAAACCCCCCAAGAAGGCACATTCCGAGGTGCTCTTCTGCTGCAGGAGCCCATAAGCCCGCTTCACACCAGTCAGATCAAGCTCCTTGGCCAGCCGAAAGCATGGGTTCGTATATGTAGTAGAATTCAGAATGCTAGAACTATTCTCCCCTTAGAACCATAACAAAAAATAATATGTTCAATATTCCCTTTGGTTTTATATGAACAAATATAAACATAGTTCCTAAGGGGACCAAAGAGAATCCTAGGAGGTTGAGGGTTTATGGTTGAGAGATTCGGCCATGTAGAAGCCGGAATAATTACCAATACTATGTAAAAAATACCAATACTATACCTATACCATGTCAACGGCATTTTCTTCGCCAAAAAGTATATTGCAAATATCGTATACTCGCAAAGCCGTGTTCTAACAGTTGGTAAAGCCCACAAAAAGGGGCAGGCTGTCTAACCTGTGAACTGTATTACTAACTATTCAAGCCTCTAAATCATCGTCGGATCGCACCAAGGACTCCCACCAACGACTTTAAGACCCTTGAGCTAAGGAAGATGTCCTCAACTACCGGGGTTCTCTATGTTGGCAAAAGGCACACCATTTTAGGACAGTTACAGCCTCTGCCGCTAAAGACGGTAGATGATTAACTCCACACGTTGCTCTGGACTACGGATGTTGGAGTCTCGTAACTAGCTACAAGTTGCAAAGTCATGACAGATGTCGTTCGTGGTAACCCTCGCAGTAAACCGGACAGTAGCCGTTATAGTAGCCGCGCCCTAATCTTTGCTGGGCCACTTCCAACCATCCATGAACTTACACACACACACACACACATATATATATATATATATATATATTGTACTCACTTTGACGGTAGCCAACACGGCAGTCTGTATATATGTAGGAAACCCTTATAGGAAGCCTTGCAGCAAGCCTTGTTTTACAACCCTGACGGTCACCTTCATAGACGCGCTTATGATAATCGTGCTCACCCTTCTAAAGTTTTACAGCGCAAGCCGTGCAACTTCCAATCCCCTAAACCCCCAAAGCCTCCGAACCCTGAACGCCCCAAGCCCCCAAACCAAGCCCCCGCCAAAGAAACCTTAAGCTCAATTTCTCAACTCCAGGCATCTCCGTTGCCGTGGACATCGATGATGTCGAAGATGACTCGATACTCATCGACTTGCCCTCAGAATCACTTCGCAGCATGGCTGATTAGAATAGGGCTTCTTCAAAGTGGTCTATCAGTCGAGAAGGGCTACCATACCCATAGGCCCCATAGTCGTTCCCTTTTGGGACGACCTTATAGGATTCTACGCATGAACCCTGAAAAGGAACTACTATGGTGTCTATGGGTAAGTTAAGGGTTACTTACCGATGCTGTTAAGGAAGAGTCGTAGCTATCCGAGGTCTCTGCGCTCGTCCAAGTTCAGGTTCGCGCCGTAGCCACGATCCTGCCGGACACAAAGCCTGGGGCCTTAAGGTACTACGGTTGAGGACATTCCTGCATTACCTTAAGGACCCTAAACTATGGGAATTATGGTATATTCCTTATTATGGGCAGTGCAGGATTTCTATCCTCAGCCGTACTCTGTACTAGTACCACTCGTACCGTACCACTCTCTACCAGGGTTTTCTCGGGGTTTAGTGTTTAGGGTTTGGGGTCTCGACCTCCTGCAACCCGTACAACCGCGACAGTGCTGAGGCTGCAAAAGCTCGAAAATACAAACCCCTCAACCTTAAACCCGAACCTGCAAAGCTCGAAGCCATAAACCCGCCTAAACCCTAAACCCTAAACCCATCGGAGAACCACAACTGGCCGAAGTCCTCTGCGCGGTGGCGCATCGCCTGCCACTCCTTCACCTTCGAACCCAAAGGGTCCAAGTATCATTACCAGGACCCTCCATGTACCCTCAAATTGGGGTATATGGTCCCAAATAAGGGGCATTTAGGGTCTAATAGAGGGTAGATGGGGGGTCTAGGTATGGTATAGTGATACTAATAATCATAATAGTCATCTTAATAGTAACAGTAAATAACAATAGTAATCATTATGGTATATACTTAGACCCCCAAAATACCCTATAAGTATATACCATAATAATGATACTTGGAGCCTTTGGGGAAGGAGTACTTTTGGGGCGTGGATTAGGGTTTAGGGTTTACGGTTTAGGGGTTTAGGGATTCTAAGGCTTAGGGGTTTAAGGTTTAAGGCTTTTCTTCTTTAATGTTTAGGGTTTAAGTTCTTTAAGCTTGGTTTTTTTTTCATGTTTAGGGTTTAAGGTTTAGGGCTCCTTTAAAGGGAAACCTGGTGGTTTAGGGTTTAGGGTTTAGGTTCAAGGGAAGCCTGTGGGTTTTGGTTTTATAGGGCTTGGGACTCCTATTTAAAGGGAAACCTGGGGTTTGGGGTTATAAGGGTTTGGGGTTTAGGATTTGGGGTTTAGGGTTTGCGGTTTAGGGTTTGGCTTAGCCAACATCCTATGCCTCTTAGGTCTTAGACTGCAATAAACTCTCGAGTTACTGCTGTAACGAGAAAAGAATGCTCAGTTCTGCAGAAGGGTTGAGCACAGTGGGTTCTGGCTCTGCCCTAACCTTCCAAAACCGTCTTTTTTGTAAGGTCCCAACAAAACTCGAAAACTCGGGTTCATATTAGCATCCTGCCGAAAGGCAGATTCTGGCAGTTGTAGGTACGGTTTGGGTTCAGAGGGGTTTGGCGGTTCTTTGGCTCTGGCATTTAGGACTTTGGGGGGTTTACGGATTTGGGCCCCTGGGGTCCCCCATCTCTTGGGTTTATAGGTTTGACTCATGGCTCGAAAACGTATGCGACACCCCCGCATTGCTATAGTACAAAACCGCATCCAAGTTTAGGCGCCCTGAAACCCTGAACCTCAACTCCCCGACCCGTTAGCTATCACAACTACATACTTCTCGTCGCTGACTGCTTCCAACCTGGATGTTTAAGGCACAAGGTGTCCTTTATCTCTTGAGGATTGAAGGGGGTGACATAGCGTTAAATTGTTTGATTAGCTAGTGTAGAGGTGAGAGAAAGTTCATGTAAGAGATGTAATCCTGGTGTTAGTTATTGATGGAAGCACAGTTATATTCAGTCGTCAGTCTTGTGTATTTGTGGTCGTGACCGAATCACACGTCCCCGAGGTTACACTGACATGTGGACAAAACTACTGCGCTGCATCCCTCTTCGTAGAACACCTTAAACCTGAAATCCTGCACCCGAAAAATGAGCAAGGAACCCAATCTGCAAACCCGAACACCAAAGCCCTAAATCTCAACCCGTACCGCAAAACAAAAACGGTACACCTAAGCACACAAAACAAGAATCAACACACCAGCCACAGACAAGCACTCACCCACAGCCCTTAGCCCCATACCTTCAACCCTAACCCCCTACAGCTATAGATCCTAAAAGGGGCCTGGCGCACGAAGCGCACAAAGGACTCGAAGTCTAAGGTCAACCTCATGAACTTCAGTCACAGCTGGGGCCTTACGAATTAGAATAGGCTTCCTTTAGGGGTGGCTGTCAATATTATGATCCCTTTTTGGGTTCTTAATATAATACGGCACCTAGTATCTAGGGTACCCAAAAAGGGACCCCTAATTTTGACAACCACCCTTATGGGTTTCTTAAAAATGGATTCCTTCAACAGGACTGTAAGTAGGTGTTCCATACTTTCAATGACTTTAATGATCAGACGGCTTTTCCAGCGGGGGGTGGGGGTTCCATATCTGGGGGCAAGGGGAGGGGGGTATCGCATGCTGTAGACCTATTGATGATATTTTGAATTATTCCGACCCCTTTTTTCCGGGCCCCATATGATGGGGCTCCTTGCCCAAAAGTTTCGGATTCAGGGCGTCGGTTTACCTGGATAGGGTTCCCGTGTTATGATTTCCTTACATAAGTCCATATACGTCTTAAAATAGGTAGGTTATTTGGGGACCAGGTAATTATGGCTTGAAGGTGTAGGGTCGAAGGGTTTAGGGCGTGAGGTGGAGGGTCGAAGGGTGCTAGAGTTCCGCCGGGGTTTAGGGTTTAGGATTTCGGGTTTCGGGTTCAGGGCATATGGGTTTAAGGATTTGGGGTTTAGGATTTCGGGTTTAGGGTTTAGGGCTTGGGGGTTTAAGGGTTTAGGGAGTTCCGCGATTCGGAGTTTCCGTGTCGAGCTGACCTGGAGCCCCACCACAGAGCCTGCCTTCTTAGGCCTTTTTCTGGTCATGTTGTGGGTTGGTGACCTTTTTGTTTGAAAGGCACCGATACCTGGGAGAATGGGGGACCAACAAAAAGCAGAATAATGAAGTGTTGGGTATGTTCAGCTCACCTATATATGAAAGATAGCTGCTACTAGACCAGACCACTGCATACCACCGGGCTACACCTAGACCCCCCTAAGGGTTGATGATATAAATCCTACATTACCTTAAGGACCCTAAACTATGGAAATGACGGTATCTACCTTATTATAGGTAATGTAGGATTTATATCATCAACCGAAGTACCCTCTAATATACCCCCAAATACACACTACTAACCCTAAGACTCCAAGTATACAAATAGTACCCACTTTGCGGTCTAAAATCTATAAATACTACCTACTTTGGGCTATTTGGAGTCTTAGGGTAAGGGTAAAAAGGGCTCTATGAAAGAGCCTGTGGGGGGTCCTGGCAAGGTCTAAGGCTAAGGTCAAGGATGTACAGATTTAGATTCGAAGCTTTTTGAGGTTCTATGGTTTCTTTTTTTTTTTCAAAAAGAGGTTCTATGGTTTCAAGGTGCAGGGTTTACGGCATGAAGTTGTCTAAGGTTTACGATTCAACTGGGATTTGGATATTAGCGCTTGTGGTGTTTGGGTTGATGGGGCTGCACCGGAGGGCCTGGAGGATTGAGGAGCTGAGTCCAGGCTCTGGGATTCCCTGCCTTTGGTTAGTAGGGAATGGAAGAATGGGGTACAGTTATATATATATATATATATATATATATAAGTCCTGTTACTAGCATTCTTCCATTCCCTACTAACCAAAGGTAAGAACATTCAGGTCTTGCGCTTAGGGCGCAGGAGGCAATGTGTAGACTCTTAGGCTTGGGGGGGGGGCCGGCAAGACCCGAGACCCCTGGAGCCCGGAGCCCTAAACCCTGTAAAGCCCTGAAGCCCTAAATTTTAATCCCGAAAACCCTGAAAAAAACCTAAAACCCTAAAGCCCTAAACCCTAAACCCTAAACCCTAAAGCCCTAAAACCCTAAACCCTAAAGCCCTAAAACCCTAAAACCCTAAACCCTAAACCCTAAAACCCTGAAGCCCGAAGTCCCGAAGTCAAGAAACGGCTGGAAGCCAAACTCGTTGACTTCATTCCTGGGCTCGGAGGTTTTGGGATCTAAGCGCTAGGGTTCTGGGTTGACTTGAGTTGGGGTTCGATATTTTTTTTGGGTTTAGGGGTGTGAGCTGCGGAGGGTTGACAGGGGTTTTAATAACTGGAATAGGATGTTGGGGAGTATTATACTACAATTATAATCAGGAACCCCCAAGATAGTGTTGGTAAGTATCTAGACCTATGGTACCTGAACCCTGAAGAGCCTACCTTTTCTAGTTTAGGGTAAGTCCTCAACAAGGTAGGTCTTTCGGGTTCACGCTTAAGGTCGGGTGATTGAAGCACACAACATGTAGCACACACCCTTAGGGCTGCGCTTCTTTAATGTTGCCAGCTTAGCGCATCTAAGCGCTCCACAATACCGAATGCCATGGCTCATACCTTACATGACGCTGAAAGCCAAGACACTGCCCCACACCCAAACTCCATAAAGCCTGCTATGGGCATCATGGTGCTCGTGTGCTGTTTGATCTGTTTGGGGAATAATAGTGCAAGATATTAATAAAAGATAATCGTCGAAAGATGCTGAGACCATATTCTTACTGGCTTTTCCAAGCGCTATACCTGCTCCCAAAACCGGAAACACGAAAATCGATACAACAAGATCTGCAAAACTGTTGAGTTACATGTTCTTCGGGTGTAGGGATCAAGCCTAGGGCTAAAGCCTAAACATGGCTTTCTTGGCAAAGCTCCGGAAGGCCGGAAGGCTACTTCACAGGAACCTTCCATTCCACTGCACTGTGGGTGCACACCACTTCTCTGTCTCCAACTCTCCTAGACCCAACAGTAACCTGGTAATAAAAAGGGTGCCCTTTTTGGTTCAAAGGGGGTTTATAAGGGAGTCTGAACCCCCAAAAAGGGAATAAGGGCTTACTCTGGGTCCTAGTCTCCCTCTCTAGCTGCGGTGCAACGACGACCTGGGACGCTGCGGCCGCAGCCTCCCGAACCTCGGCTCGTGAAGCTGGCGACTCGAAATAGCCTTTGACTGCGATCTTTGGGAACCTTCATGGTTCTGTCGGGCAGCCCCCATGCAACGCACTTCAGGTGTTCCACTGTGTCGCGGCGGTCTACCAGCACGTGCAGCGCTCTCAGCGCCCTGGCTCTGTCAGCAGCAGCTGCTGCGCAGTGCGCTCGCATCAGAAGAGCGGCGTCGAGCCGCAGCCCAACAAAAACCAGCCTAGTGCTACTCTACCGGGTTTATGGTTCGCGGCTAGGCGAACTCGCGTTCAGGGTGTTTGGGGGAATGGTGTCGCAGGTATTTAGAGACTTGAACTTCAAAGCTCGAGGGTTAGCATGTACCCAGAGGCTCCATAGTAGTTCCTTTTTGGGTAGTATATTCGAGCCCCTAACCAAAAAAAAGGACACACCCAAAAAGGAACTACTTTGGGGCCCCTGGGTAGGTGCAGGGTGCAGGCTTTTGGGGGCTCGAGGTTTTCTAGCGAGGGTTCTTCGCGAGCCAGGGCACAGCAGCTCGTAGATCTTGGCCTCGCAGCAGTAGCATGGTACAGGGCTACTGCGACAGGACGGTACCTGAACCTTATACGAGAAGAAATAGAAGACAAAACCGCGAGATTCTGGAATGAGTTGAAAGGCTTCGGTTGTTGGGGCTTGGGACCCGACGTGCAGTTTTTAGCGTTTACATTTAAAACCGTGGTTAGTATCTTTGGATTGTCGGATGCTCCCTAAACTGCGAGGCCCCCCTAAACTCGCCCCCAACACTGAACATGGACTAAGTGAAAACCTGACCTAAACCTTAACCGCCTGACCCCCAAACCCTGAACCCCCTTACCCTGAATCCTGAACACCGAAGCACTGAACCCTATTAAGCTCCTTGCAGCAACCCGTAAGGGTTCCTTTAAGGGAGACGCCAAGCCCGCTGAACCTTAACAAATCCCCTCAGTCCCGATGCGCAGCGCCTGGTCATCCCGCTGGCGGGGGCCGAGTTGTAGTTCCTGCTTGGCACTGCAAGGGTGGGGGTCGGGGGGCGAGGTTTTGCTCTCATTTCCGGGGCTGCAGACTGCCAAAAACTCAAACAAAGAAAACCATCAGTTAACGGCTTTGAAAGGATTGTGCCAGCTGCCAGTGTTTGCCGGTTTGTTCAACGGTGCTCAGTAAGGCTTCATATATGCTTTTCAATATACCCTACTTAATTAATGGCTTCTTGCTAGGGAGCTGCGGGGCCCCGGGTCGATGTGAGAGTGTGAATATATATATATATATATATATATATATATATGCATACATATATAGATATCACTGAAATACACATACATACATGTATGTTGTAGATATACACATACAATATATATGTATATATATATACATATATATATATACATATACATATACATATATATACATATACATATACATATATATATATACATACATATGAATATATATATCCATCTATATATGTACATATTTGTTTGTTTGTATGTATGGAGGCTGGAGCATTCCGGTTCAGCAGCATACCACAATACAGAACAAGTCTAAAGTCAGGACCAAACCGCAGAATGGAACCCTGAAGACTCCCTGCACAACCCGTATAGAACTCGAGAATCTAGCGCTGGCGCCAAGTCCAGACTCCACGAATACGTTTCACGTTCCCAGAAACTCCAAAATCCCTTAATTAAGGAATATTCCTCAACTCCCTGTCCTTTTGAGGGGTCTACCAGGCGTCTTCCACGCTTTCTAGGTGTTGCAAAGGCACGTCATGTAGATGCCCCATTTACAAGCTTCCGATTACAAACTCCCGCACGCCTTGTAAGAAAGATTATGATCTGAAAGCAAAAGGGGCAGAGGTCTGCATTACGATAACGAAACATAAAGTCTCCAAACTGCGCAAACTCCCAACTTTCAACGGCACTGCACCCAGACCTTAGCGTCTAAACCCTAGAACCCAGCCCTACGAACCCTGAACCCTGAGCCTAAACACCGAAAAATGTATCCTATACCCTCCATCTACCCTCTATTGGACCCTAAATGCCCCTTATTTGGGACCATATACCCCTATTTGCGGGTACAACGAGGGTCCTGGTATGCAAGGTATATACCCTTAATATAGCGATTATATACCCATTATATAGCCCATTATAAGGACCCAGGGGTCCCCATTAAGGGTCCCTCCTTTTCCCCTTTGAGTATCGTATACAACCTCGCAACCACCGGTGAGCCTCAAGAGCCTGGCTCACTTCGAGGACGGAGACCTAAAAAAAGGGACGGGAAGAGACTTGGGTAGTTGTGAAAATTCGGGATCCCTTTTTGGGTACCCTACATAACCAAGGCATCTGGAAGCTCCAGGGTTTAGGCTTTGGGGTTTGGGGTTTGGAATTCAGGGTTCAGGGTTCAGGGATTAGGGATTGGGTAGTTGTCAAAATTAGGGATCCTTTTTGGGGTCGCTAAGTAATGGGTGCCGTATTATATTAGGGACCCAAAAAGGGACCACAACTTTGACAACCACTCAGTTGGAAGAGGACCCAAAAAGGGACCATAATTTTGACAACCACTCAATTGGAAGAGGCTTCTTGAAGGGATCCTAACGGGTTCTGTGAGGGATCTGCACGCCGGATCTGTAATGCTGTCTCTTTGGATCACTTCATTGCTTCTCACATTGCGTGAGTACGGCTGCACGGTCGGCAGACCGCAGGCTCAAGGGAATTGGAGCCTGTCACCGTCGAAGACCACGGACAGAACCAGTAAGGCCCCAGAGGCAGTATGTAAGTCGATCCAGAGGGTGAAGGCGGGCAAGCCCAGTGCGGCGAAGGTCATACGCCGGTATGTTGTTCCAAAATTGGCCGTACCCAGGCTGTTGGCAAATGAAACCCAGCAGCTCTCCACTCGGCCTGAGACGCTAGGGCCTGCAGTTTCAGTTGTCTGGCGTGGATGGCGGTAGCCGGCCTGACAATTGCAGCGTGCAGGACAACACGGGCATTCACGGGGTTCCCTGCCGCCACAACCGCGTTAAAGCGGTTGATGTGTGAAGAACTCCCAGTCGCAAAAGGCGCTAGCTACCGAGTGGCAGCAAAGTAACGTAGACCGCTGACAACTGCACACCCTCTCCCTTGTGTACTCCGGCCATGATAAAACAGGCCATTACCTACCGAGAGCGTCCTTTCTGTATCTATCAGGGGTCAAAACATTCGTCTCTGGGACCTACGACCCACTCTAAACCCTCAACCCCAAACCCTATTCCCTCAGGGTCCATGTACATACTTTGGCCTTAAAGCACTCCCTATGTAGGTACATTGGGCCCAAAGTACATACCATTTGGGTACATGGACCCCTAGTAGTCCTTATTTATGGTTTTTGGTACCTAAAAAGGCCCGAAAGTCCTATAATAGAGAGTACATGGACCCTAGTGGTCCTTACTTAATATTTTTGGTATTAGAAAGGCCCGAAAGTCCTATAATAGAGAGTACATGGACCCTTAGGGACTGTTTGGATACCTGGACGTGCGCAGAGGACCCCGGACTGAAGCTTCGAGTTGACCCTGAAGGGGAAGGGATCAAGGGGTACCTTAGGGCTTTAGGGTTTTGGGGTGCTTAGGGCTTTAGGGTTTTGCGGTGCTTAGGGCTTTAGGGTTTTAGGGTGCTTAGGGCTTTAGGGTTTTGGGGTGCTTAGGGCTTTAGGGTTTTAGGGTGCTTAGGGCTTTAGGGTTTTACTGTTTTAGGGCTTCGGGGTTAGGGTTTTGGACTTTGTGGTTGGGCGTTAAGTTTTTAGGGCTTAGGGGTTTTAGGGCTTGCACTTGGGATTTGGGCTGAGGGTTTACGCTTGTGATTTGAGCTGCGGGCTTTGGGGCTGAGTGTTTGGGCGGAGGGGTTCAGCGTTTACGCTTAGGCTTAGCGGGTAGAAAGGAACACCTGCAAAGATTAAATTTTGAAGGTCCGAAGGGGCCGTGAGCCTACATTGAGGGCATCGTTTCACCCTCCAGAATCTGGTATATGACTTCGGTGGCATGAGCTGCTCGAGCTGTGGACAGTCTACCTGAGAATGGGTGACGGATAAAATATGATCACCACAAACAGCACATACTATACACCGTATCCTTGCCGCGTCTGTCGACGTCATTTTGGCATAGGGGCCGTCAGGGGAAGCTTAAGACCCCATAGATCCTAAACCAACTGAAGGCAAGTCGCAGCTTCCTCGCTGTAGCTGTTGTTGAGACGCTTCCGCCTGCCGGGTAATGCACGGGCAACACAGCAGGACTCTGAAATGTAGCACCGCGTGAGTTGCTGGCCATCGACACCCTAACATTAACATACCCGAGTACCCGTGTAATGTAGATGTCGGAATGATCAAAAATCATGCGCCCGTCTAGTGGCTATATATTAACACGTCACTAGAACTTGCGCATGCCCCAGAAACCAAATGCGTACATGCACACAGCGCCTTGATTAGACGGACGGTTGGCGTGTCCTAGATTGGTTAACCAAAAAAAGGAACTACAATGGAGGCTATAGGTACACTGCAAAACCCCTCTGCTTATTCAAACCTCTATGTTGGTAAGGCTTGCAATTCGTCCTCTCGGTGCTACAAGCCTGTACCACCTCATCAGCTCTCGAGTCTGTAAAATGGAGGCCTGAATAAGCAGCAATACTCTTCCTCGAGCCCCTTTGTCTTATTGTATGCATTAGTGGTATGTTGATGCTACTGTTACTAACATGGTGACTGTTCTGCTGCTACTATATTCTTCCGAAAGCCGTGATCTAGTGATGAAGGCTCCTTTTATCGTAGAACCTTCTGGAATCCCTGAGAAGCAACCCCACTCGAAGTCTTAAGCCCCCTATACCCAAAACCCTCTTTTAAAACACACAAACGGCATGGAACCTCCGTGAAGGGGTCCGATACCGACTCTTAAGGCCCGTATACCCCGAACCCTACACAAACCCCATAGCTACGTTTAAGGGGCCCTATTCTAAGTCTCAAAGCCCCTATACCGCCAACACCCTGAACCCTACACCAAGATCTACAGTAGAAGCCAGAAAGTTGGAACATCATTGTCCTCATGCCCTTAAGGTAATAAGGGATCCTAGCACGAATCCTCCTAAAGCCATATTCCAACTTTCTGGCTTATACTGTAAGTCTCAAGGCCGCCTACACAAAAAGCTCATAGCAGCGTTAAACGGGCCCCTATTCTATACCCGTAACCCTACACAAAGTCCCATTCTAAGTCGTAATCGTTTTATGAAGGCCCCAAACAAGCAAATGAGGAATAACCAAGGAAATGGATACCCCCTATAAACCCCCATAGAATGAAGCCCCACAAGGTAAGGTCGCAATATTCAGGGATATCTCCTATAAACCCCGTTATGACGAAGCCCCACAATATTCCTCGCACCTCCGTAGCATTCGGTCGAAGACGGGGCGGAGCTCTTCCCTCAGTCGGCCGGAGACCTGGGTGTCTGAGCTTTTCAGGCTTCCTCGGGATGAGGTTTAGAGGTTAGGGTTTAGGGGGGTTTATTAGGGTTTAGAGGTTAGGATTTAGGGGTTCGGGTTTAGGGTTTAGCTTTTAGGGGGGTTTAGGGTGCCAGGGCATAGGGTGCAGGGGTTAGGGCTCAGGGTTTAGAGGGTTAGGGTCTGGGGTTTATGGGTTAGGGTTGGGACGGCTCAGGGTTTAGCGTTCCGGGGATACAGGTTTGGGGCTAGGGTTGGGAGAGTTTAGGGTTTCGGGTTGGGTTCCTATTCTGATTCTAGCTGGTATGGGAGGGGGATTTAACAATCAGGCCTCTGTTTTGGGGTCAAGGGTTTGCTGGGCTCCTACTAATGCCACTAAGAAAGAGAGTTTAAGTGCCTGCGAACACGGATAGTCAAAACAGTGTGATTTGCTTGCTCTACCCCTTGCTACTACTTGCAACTACCTGCTGCTACTCCAAACTACTACTACTACTACTACTACTACTACTACTACTACTACTACTACTACTACTACTACTACTACTACTACTACTACTACTACTACTACTACTACTACTACTACTACTACTACTACTACTACTACTACTACTACTACTACTACTACTACTACTACTACTACTACTACTACTACTACTACTACTACTACTACTACTATTACTACTGCTACTACTACTACTACTACTACTACTACTACTACTACTACTACTACTACTACTACTACTACTACTACTACTACTACTGCTATTGCTACTGCTACTGCTACTGCTACTGCTACTGCTACTACTACTACTTTACTACTACTAATACTACTATACTACTACTACTACTACTACTACTACTACTACTACTACTACTACTACTACTACTACTACTACTACTACTACGTTCGAACACTGATGATAGGAACTACGTGCTGGCACGAGTATTTAGGAGCACTACTATCTCAAATCAGTACTTCCACTGCACAAAGGGACCAGCTGTCCTCGTAGTCATCAATGACCCCCTCAAGAATGGGGCACAAACCGGGCCTGTGCTATTCAGGGACGGGCTCTATTGTTGGGCGTAGGGGCTGTAATATAGGAACCTGATTAAGAAACTTTGGGCCTTTCCTAGGGTTCCTTACATGGATTCTACTATTTTGGGGGGAAAGGCCAGGGGTTTCTTAATCAGGTTCCTACATGAAACAGAGATGTCCCCTGGATCTCCCAAAATCATAGTCACTAGGGAGCTCGAAAACCCATAAAGGCACACACACCCAGAACCCTAAACTTAACCCCAAACCCCAATCCCTATGCCTCCAGGGACCTTGTTATTGGGTCCTCAAGGGGCTTAGGGCCCTAACCATGAGGTCCTTGGAAGGATAGGGTAATTATCTCAACAAGCCAAAAGCTTGCGTTCCGAGATGCCATCTGCCTCACTGCATGGACCAGCGTCAGGAAGCCCTGAAAGTCCATGCAGCCTCGTCCAGTGGCTATAGATCCTACAGTCCTGCATTATGCCGGCGAATACAGTATCATGATGGCCAATGCTACGGTGCGTTCCTGCGGCTCTCACCCATCCCTGCTTGGGGGCTTCAGGGTTGGAAGTGCTCCATGTGGGTAGAAGTTCAAAGCACCTGCTTTTCTGCGGCCACAAGGTATGTTCAGAAGTTCTTTTTTTGCTTTGACTGCTTATCAGGACGTATGTTCGCTATCGTCGTTTCAGTACCTACAATGCACCTCTAGAACACCCGAATGTGGGGTTTACATGTTATTACAATGCGTCTGTAAGGATCCGAGAAAAAATCGGTGTTGCAGCGTGTCGGAGTATCCAGGTTTTTGTGCTTTTCATGCAAATACAGTAGAAGCCAGAAAGTTGGAATATCATTATCGTAACCCCTTTAAGGTAATGTATAGGGGATCCTACCATTAATCCATATTCCAACTTTCTGGAGTTCCCTTTAAGGAGGTTTCGAGTCACTGCTTTGGGTTTGGGGTTCCTTATTAGGGGGGGGCTTTAGGGTTTTGGAGAAGAAGGAAATCAGGCAGGCTTGATTGAAGGTTTAGGGTTTACGTTTTAGGGCTTAGGAGTTTAGGGTTTACGGAGATTCTTTGATCGTCCTTGATTCGTCGGGGGCTTTCGTTGCTTCTTTTTCACACCCTCGCTGTGGAATTATGCTCTCCAGTACCTGTCCTGGTCTCAGTGTTGCAGCTGTCTTGAAACTGCACCTAAATCACGGACTGGATGCCATACTATTGACGGTTGCTTGACTTGTTGCTTACCATTATTTACACTGAACTTTGCTGTTATGGCCGTGACCACTGCGAATCCACGACGTTCTAAACTAGTGTCAAAGCTATCGTAGCACTCTGGCACTCTGCTGCTCCGTGTTCCTGCTCCATTGAAACAAACCCTTTTGGGACTTCTGCGGTCCTGTAGGTTCCCCGCTTCCAAATCTTCGACTCCAAAGCCTCTAGGCTAAGATGCGTTCACCCGGGAGAACCTACCTTTTTAGGGCTTCTCACTATAACTTCCTTGTTTTCAAGTCCTTCAAGCGGTAGGTTCTTCCTGGTCATGGTATGCCTTCACCCTAAACCGTACCAACTGTCCACATCATGACTTGATAGGTGTCAGGGATTTGGGGCTTAAGCACTGTCGGTGTCGCGAGGCCTGTACAGGCACAAACACAGGGTGTGTATGTATGTAGGTATGCATGCATGTATTTATGTATGTGCGCATGCATGCACGCTGTCAAAACATCCGGCAAATCCCTTTCGGAATAGTTCCCTTTCAAACGAAGGTAAAACATGTTCTATTCTGAGAATTTAACAATAGTAAAGCCTTGCGAGGTGCCTTCGTCCAAACTCCCAACGTGCGAGGCGATCGAAAGGAATTCGCTGCCATGCAGGAGTGCCTTCGCAGGATTTGGGGCATTGTGGCTGCAGAAGTTGAACCACTAGGTGTCGCTTTCAACAGTCCCCCAAATAAATTCATAATCAGATCTCTGCAAAGCCTGAGTTCGAAACCCCACTCTACCAAACCCCGGACGGCATCAATCCCTAAACTGGGGATTTAAGGAACGCCCGACAGCGGGCTCCCTGGTTGTACGTGGAGTCATCGCTTGCAAGCCTAGCTAAGTACAAGTCCTCTGGGCCGAGATCCCAGTCAACGACCTTTAAACAAGACTTAAAAGTCGACTCAGCCTAGGTAATGGGCTTCAGCATGAAACGATAGCCGACGATAGCTTGACTTAAAATTTGACTTACCAGACTGGTTTCAGTCTCAACGAAAATATGCAAACATGCTTTCTCCTACGACATGTTGGGCCCAAAAACATATTCACTTGCACATGTTATTTGCTTCGTTAACCCATGACATAAGCACGAATCGGTATGTTTTCATGCACGGCCTCAGGGCTGCTGCGGAGAACTCCAGAGCCAAAAGCCCAAACCCCAAAACCATAAACCAAAAAGCCCGGACACCAAACATTAAACCCTTAACCCTAAAGTCAACAGCCCCAAACGCCAAACCATCCATTTCCTCAGAGTGCTCAGGGCTCCGTGATGTGCTTCAACAGGTTTAATTTCAGAAAGCTAGAAGGCCCTCAATCCCATCAATCGCTCCTCTAGATCCCCATAATTAATTCATAAGGCCAGTTTTTTTAGGCTCACAGCTCCTAAGTATGTATTCAGACCCCTCTTCTTCACCTACTAACGACTCGCATCTCTAGGACCACCACAAAAGCGCTGCAAAACCACCGTGGCAAAATTATGTTCCCTTTTGGGGTCCCTAAAGAAGAACGGCACCAATTTTATTTAGGGTGCCCAAAAAGGGAACATAATTTTGACAACCGCCCACATGATTTTGGGGGGCGGCTCGGCAGGCCTTTAAGGCGGCCTTCGTCCCGCCGAAGCGCTGGGTGAGCCTCACTGGCTCGAGACTTTTTTTGACGGTTTAGGGTTTAGGGTTTAGGGTTTAGGGGCTCCCTATGAGAGCCTTTATTCTTAAAGGGCCCCCTATAGGGTCCTTATGGCTCTTAATATAATGGGTATTCGATTTTACTTCCAGCTTCTTCCTACCAGGATCCCCCCCCCCAAGGGGCCCCTTAACAGAGTCCTTATGGCACGTAATATAATAATGGGCATTTATCAGAACCTTATTTTCTCAAAGGGCCCTTTGTAGTAGGGTCCTTATGGCCCTTAGTGTAAGGGGTACTTTGGGGTATATTAGAGGGTACTTGTGGGTCTAGGTAACAGGCTTCCTTTGGGGTCAGGGTGCAGGCCTGTGGAGTTAGAGCTCTTCCCTGGGGCTTTCGGTTCAAGACTTTCACACTTCCGACATCTGTTTCAATGTAGAGGCCCATGCTCGTGTTCTACTTGGAGGGTCGGGGGACTTAGTAAGTAGGTAGTAAGTAGACTTATAAGTACCCTAAAAGGGACCCTAATTGGGGTTATGGTACTTATAAGTCTTTAAAATAACCAGATACTAAGTCCCCCGACCCTCCAAGTAGAAGGGCCTCTATCTGTCAGGGTGCTACGAAGTTCCATCGTGGATCCTATCGGGTTCTGTTGGGGTTCCAGGAGGGATCCGACGTCAACTCCAAAACCCTCAAGCCTGCAACTGCCAACCTCGACTCCTTCACCCTACACCCGGGAAGGCTCAACCCCAAACCCTAAAAGCCTCAACGTGTCGACACCAGACCCTCCACCCCCAAACCCACAAAATTTCAGTCCTAACCCAAACCCTTCACCCCTTTGTCATACTGAACTTAGACCCATAGCAAAAAACCAAGTTTTAGCTGTTTCTCAGGGATTAAAGGAATCCAACAACCCAAGAACTATCTGTGAGTACCCATAAGTGTAGACCCTAAGACCTTCCAACCCCAATCCCTTCACCCCTTCATAGTAACCCTCATAGAGCCCTTTATATAGATCCCTTCTAGTAGCCCTTAAAGGATCCCGTTTACAAGGAGCCCTAAGTTGGATACTGCCCCCATACAG